CTCTGTGGCTAATACAATTACGTCATCTGATGTTCAGTCTTTACCTGCACAGTCGAGCAACATTGTTAAGACCCTACCATCAATAAGCCAAAATGTACATAAATTAAATAAAAATGTAAAAATTGTAAATAATGTAAATAAAACAGTGCCTGAACCCAACTTGAACTAAACTCAACTTAAGGCTCAAATTGCAAACAATAAGAATATTCTGATGGCAATGGTCCAAACTTTAGTCGAATTGGGTAATAAAACAGATTATGAACCTGTGACTACACGGTTCATTAAAGCTTACTTTTAAAAAATCTGTCACATTAATGGATAGTACAGTACAGAACATATAGCAGTTATGTATAGCTCAGTACAATATTTAAAGTATACAAAGGAAAAACCCTTAGTCTAAATTTTTAGCTGAGCAAAACGTTGATATCTGTCGACTCAATGAAACTTGGCTTAAAGATACTCAGCATTTTAAAATTTCGGGATATAATCCCCACTATCATAATGCCCAAAATGAGCACGGTGGCAATTCTGATCAAACCGTATTTTAAATATAATATTATTCAAACCAGATTTTACCAAGACATTCAGACTGTGGCATTATTGTTATATGTAAGTGGTAAACACTTAACGATTTTATGTGTATACTGCCCTCCCTCGAATGGTAACTTCGGAATAAGTAAACTGCATGATATAATTAGAGATTTGCATAAGCCAATATATGTGGCTGGAGAGTTCAAGGCTCATCATGTGGCATTTGGGTGTATGACCACGTAAGTCGGGGTCATCAGTTATACGATTTAATTGATGAATTTGATCTATGTGTCCTTAACAATGGTAGCTTCACTACTATTAATTATCCTAACCGAAATCCATCGGCTATTGATGTCAGCTTTTGTAGTGCTCCAATCACACCACTATGCGAATGGTGGATGCATAATGATTGTATGTGGAGCTATCATTTTCCTACGCTACTCGTGTTTTATTGTCCATTGATAGATACCAAATTAATCCTCCCACTGAAAAATTCTTTTACAACAAGACAGACTAGACGAAATATAATGAGCTGTCTAGAACTGCTTTTTCTAATTTTGAAGTTAATAATGAAAATCCATTACAGTCATATGACGAATTTATCGAAAGGCTTGATACACTTAAGAGGGATACTGTGCCAAAGTTTGTCAAAGCAAATAACTATTGTTGTAAACCTCTAGCACCTTGGTGGAGTGACACATGTGAACAGTGTTATTAAAACTTATGAAGCTTTAAAACTGTACAGAAGGGATCCAACCATTGATAATTACATTAATTACAAAAGACTTGATGCTTTCAAGAAAAATGCTATTTCAGAACATAAACGCAATGGTTGGGCGAACATCTGTAATACTTTTAACAGAACTACACCTGTTAGTATTATTTGGAAATACATCAAGTTATTTGAACGAATAAAATGCAATAATAGAACATATAAAGACGAATTTGTTGTCTCTCTCTTAGAAAAATTATCTCAAAATGGATGTAGGGTTATTGATAATCTAGAAAGTTATTTTCAAATTAATAATAGCCTTCAGAAGCCCAGTTTCCTCATAGAATCCTTTACTTGGAGTGAATTTTGTACAAGTTTACAATTCAGACGTAACACAACCCCTGGTTTAGATGATTGTCCATACATTTTGATCAAAAACCTAAATCAGTCCGATCAAAAGAAACTATTAGTCAATCTTAATGCTCTTTGGCACTTAAAAAAATTCCTGAATCTTGGAAAACACAGTGTATAATCCGTCTACTTAAGCTTGACAAGCCACCTGAAGACCCTAACTCATATCGTCGCATATCATTGTCATCTTGTATTGGAAAGTTTAATGAAAACATGATAAAGATGCGTCTTGAGTATTATGTAGAGGCGAACAACATCATTCCACATGTTCAAAATGGCTTCCGGAGAGGGCGAAGTTGTGCTGACAGCTTCATCTCTCTCTTGTCAGATCTGAAATATGCCAATAATAATAATAAGTTCAGTGTTTGTGTTTTTCAGGATGTTCAAGGTGCATTTGATAATGTTGCCCCTGGCATTTTGGTTCAAGTTCTTTCTGACACTGGTATACCAGGCATACTTTGCCATTGGTTATTTAATTTTTTAACAGATAGAACTTTGTATATAAGGCATAATAATATTCTCTATGGTCTCAGAAGGGTCTCCAAAGGTACAATGCAGGGGGCTACATTATCTCCATTGCTGTACAATATATATACTAGTCAAATTCTTAATTTTGTAAATATAGATGGTGTAAATATTTTACAATTTGCGGATGATCTTGTAATATATTGTACAGACCATAATGTAGATAGAGCTGTAAATAGTATAAATAAACCTAGCAAGCTAACAGCATAGCAAAGTGGCGAAGCAATCAGCTTTGTAGCGGTTTCTAACGGTTGCCGTTGAGTAATCAGTTTCAAAATAGGAGGTTCAGATGCCTGGGTGATCAGTAATCGATTGCTGAAACCAGAATTTGAAAATTCAAAACCGTTCTCGAGATAATCGTGGGACAGACGGACAGACGGACAGACAACGTGAAATCAATAAGTGACTTCGCAAGCTTCGCCACTTAATAATGCTTTAGATCAATTTTACATATATTACAATGACAGGTTGGCTCTACAGATTAACCCCAACAAGAGCAAGGCCATGATTTTCAGTAAAGATTTTCCATCTAATGGCATACTCTACAATAATCATCCAATTTCAGTTGTACCTAACCATACATTTTTGGGTGTTGTCATTGATAACAAACTTTGTTTTGATTTACGCATCAATCACATTATAAGTAACTCTCTTAAGGGCTTAAATATTATAAGATGTTTAGCTGGCGTGACTTGGGGTGCAGACCCCAAAGTTTTAAGTATGCTATATAAATCTATAGTCAGAAGCCACTTCGACTACAGTTGTTTAGCCTACTCAAATAGTAGCTGTGTAAAAAAACTAGACATAATTCTAAACAAAGCTCTGAGAATTATTTCTGGTGCTATGTGTTCAACTCCCATACGAGCTATGGAAGTTGAAACCAAAATAATGCCACTGTGTCTTAAAAAACTTCTGCTAATAGAGAGATATTTACTAAAGCTATTATCTGATAATGATAATGTTCTCAAAAAATAGTACCTTTTCCTGTACAATGTTCGGCCCAGCAGACTTCGGGAGGTGAGCTTTTACGAGGTTATTTCCCAGTTCTGCCTCTCATTGAACGGCAAATTAATGAAGATTTTAAAAACGTAATAAAACAATCAAAGTGGACATGCTACACATACCCATATTCCTGTATTGTTTGAGACCAATATCGTTACTAAAAAAAAATTAATAACTGTGAATTATTAAGTTTTCTTTCCGACAATGACTACTATACTTTGTATACAGATGGTAGCAAAAGTGAGCTCTTTGTGCGCAGTACTGTTTATGATCCCCAATCCAAGTTTGGTCAAAGTTTTCTTCTGGACCCTAAATGCAGTGTTTTCACTGCAGAGGTATATGCGACCCTCGAGGCCCTGAAGAGGATTGCACATATAAATAGTTTTAATAATTTTTTAATTTTAACAGACAGTTTAAGTATGGTCCAAAGTTTAACCAATCTCAGATTTGACTTTAAAAAAAACTATATTTTGCATAATATTAAAAAATTGTTATTTAGTTATGCACAAAAGGGTATACAGGTCTCTATCATGTGAATTCCATCACATAGGGGCATAATAGGAAATGAGATAGTAGATAAAATTGCACGTGATGGAACCAACATGTTGGATGTTAGCTCCATAGTAAAAGTAACTTTGACCGACTGTTATTAATCCATTGATAACCAGGTCAATAGTTTATGGGTCGAATTTTGGAAACAAGATCAAGAACAGAAGGGTAAATGGTATGGAAATATTCAAGTAAACCTACCTGTAGCACCATGGTATAACAAACTGAAAATGGCCAGTCGGGACTTTATTACGACTATAAACCACAGAGCTATAAACAGACTGCGTTTTGGTCACTCCACCGTCCCTTACATATTCTTCCTTATATATTACTATACTCTTTGGTCCCGGCGGTCTCCGTAGGAGTAATAGTGTTCTGTGGTCCCGGCCCACCCGGCTCGGTTGGGCATAGTGGAGAGCAGCTACTACACCTTCTGCAGTAATTCTGTTGGTGATATTTTTTTTTTGCGCCCGAAGCAATTGGAAAAGGGCTACCCTTTACGTAAGGAGGCGGAAAATGCATTACGCATACCACGATAGGCTATCCATCGTGGCTATGGGGGACTCACGCCTACCGGGCAGCCTAAGTGATACCCCCTAAAAACCGCCTTTGGGGACTGGCAACCAGCTGTTTAAAGCTTCTTATGCCGTATCGAAAGCGACCCTCTTTTGGGAAAAGAGGGCGCAGGGAAAAGAGGGCGCAGAGTTGGTGATATCGAACATTTCATATTTATATGCGAGTGCTTTTCATTTGACAGATTGATTCTTGTCAGTTGTCAGTGAAATTAGTGACATAGTGTAAAATCAAGTGACAGTGCAAGATCCCTCCCGCCGCCTGAGTGATATGTTAAAAAATAGAGCCTATTACGGGCCTCTATATAAATTCATCAAAAATATAGTGTAGAAATTATAATAAACCGAATAAAAATACTCAAGACTTGGCCTAAAGGTCTAGATACCAGGCCATAAACTCCAAAAAAAAATGTCGACGTATCTATATCTATGTTACGACCTGTCTTTGGTTTATGTTCTATAGTTTAATTTATGCTTTATGTATAACCTCAAACTATGGGGTTTATGTGTCTATCCATGCCTCAAACACTAATTTACACATAAAGTTAGTAAAATAATAAAATATTAAAATTAAATTTTCTTGCATTGCATAGTAGACGCCGGCGAATGGAACTTGCATTGTTAAGCTTTATGTTATTACCGTATGGAACATGTGTTGAGATTGATTTGTTCATTGGACAATAAATTGAACTGACAAAATGGGTAAAAAAAGTAAAGTAGGAAAGCAGAGGAAAGACAAATATTATCAACTCGCTAAAGAAACAGGTAAATTGAATTAAAATGTACGTTTTGGACAATAAGTTTCTTTCCGATTAATTTTTTTATTCAAAGCTGTTGTATTTTCATTTTACAGGTTATCGTTCACGAGCTGCGTTTAAATTGATTCAGTTGAATAGAAAGTTCGGATTTTTGCAAAAATCACGAGTATGTATCGACTTATGTGCCGCCCCTGGAGGTTGGATGCAAGTGGCGCATCAAAATATGCCTGTGTCCAGTATCGTAATTGGAGTAGATTTATTTCCTATTAAGCCAGTGCCGGGATGCATTGGTCTTACAGAGGATATTACTACTGAAAAGTGTAAAACTGCTATTAAAAAAGAAATAAAAACTTGGAAAGCTGATGTTGTGCTGCATGATGGAGCACCCAACGTTGGTCTTAACTGGATACATGATGCATACCAACAAGCTTGCTTGACTCTTAGTGCGCTGAAATTAGCTACTAATTTTCTGAGAGAAGGAGGCTGGTTTATCACAAAAGTATTTAGATCTAAAGATTATCATGCACTCTTGTGGGTGTTTAAACAGTTTTTTAAGAAAGTTCATGCAACAAAGCCCCAGGCCTCTCGTAATGAATCATCTGAAATTTTTGTTGTGTGTCAAGGATATATTGCGCCTGATAGTATTGATCCTAAACTTCTGGACTCTAAGAATGTTTTTGAAGATTTGGACATTGTAAAAAAACAACATTTGAATTTAATGCATCCTGAAAAGCAAAAAAAGGCAAAGGCTGAAGGTTATAAAGAAAATGATTATACAACTCATCATAAAGTACCAGTATCAGAGTTTATTAACCATGATGATCCAATAGATCTTTTACAAGGCTGTTCTGAAGTGAGTTTTTATCTTATTTATATTTTTTGCTTATATTATCTTAGCTTAATTTTTAATCTAGTGTGGTGTGTTTACAGATAGTTATCGATGATAAATCTATAGAAAATCATCCCAAAACAACAAATGAGATCAAAGAGTGTTGTAAAGATATAAAAGTACTTGGTAGAAAAGATTTAAAAGCCTTATTAAGTTGGATAAAACAAATGAAAGAGTTAAGAGCAACTAATATTACCTCTGAGGTGAGATAAAATACTGTTTTTTATTAAAATATAATATGGGTGTGTGCATGTGCAAGTGTTTACTCATGTTTTCTGCTCTGTTTTGCATTCTTTCTAAGTCTTGATTTTAGCAAGAATTTAGGTGATTTCATTACTTGTTATCCTCTACTTTGATGGGATAACCTAGGTAATCTAAGGTACCTACATTTTTATCAATAACTAAGTATAATCTTCCCTCCAAATATATAAAAATTAGTAGCTTAATCAATAGCACTTTTGACATAATTGAATTTAAAATTTTTGTTGAAAACTTTAACCTTAAAACACCTGTCAATGTATAACAGTAAAAAAAATTAAGGTGTATTTAGATGTGACAATTAAATAGGTTGCATATATACAGCTCCTGGTGTTAAATTATTATATTAAACATAGTAAATATAAACAAAGTGTTTATAAAATGAGTTAGTATGTACTAAACACACACACACACCAGGCCACTGAGAGGTCATTTCAAAATTCCGTGACTTAATTTTGCTGGCTTCTTGTACATAAGTTATGAAATTAAGCCATTATGTGAAATGGTATTTGTTTGATTTGCATAACAATACAACATTATATCAGAAGAGATTAAAAAATCACACCCTTTTTTCACCCACTTTTTTCACACAAACTGTTTTATATCTTCCTCCTTTTACGTGGCATAACAAAATAGGTTAAAAGAATCGAAACTACTAATCTATGTTGTTCAAAGATTAAAACAGCATTTATCTTTGAATAACATAGATTAAAGACAAGGCGTGTTTAATTGCCAAATGGGCACACGGGGTTGTTCAACACACGGACATGCATAAGTTGTCAACCCTCTGCGGGCGTCATGAGACATGAGGAGTTAAAGTTATTGCATCTATAATCCATACAATAGCATGTTTACAATAACATGTTTCCTGATTTAATGAAACTTAGTAAAGTCATAATTACGTGGTAGAGCCATGCTGCAGCTATATTACTGCTATAGTTGTAGCACAAATGGGTCAGCTCGACTGGGGAAGGACCACACTCTCACAGAATACAGCGTAAAGAAGCAGCTAAGGCCCTTTTTACTGGAAATGAGGATTTCCATCGTAGTCCTCATGGGTGACAATGCATCTGTATTTTAATTTGGCATTGAAGATAGACGTCAATGTCTATTAGCCACAGCAACCACTTACCATCAGGTGGACTGTGTACTCCTTTGTCACCCTTATACTATAAAAAAATTTTTTGTTTAATTCTGGTAGTACATTAGACCTCACCAATTTTAGACAAATTTCAGTACCACCAACAATTAGTAAAATTTTGGAAAAAATAGTTTTAGATCAGATATCAACTTTTTTTTTAAAATAAATAAATTGCTTCATAAAAATCAATTTAATTTTACAAGGGATCTCTCGACAACTGACACCAGTGTTGGTTGAGCTTATTAAATATATTTTTTGTGCATGGGAGAATTCAGAGGATGCTTTGGGTGTAATTTGGGTGTTATTATTCTGACTGAAACATGATTATTCTTTGCTTTATATGAAAATTTGGGGTTCAACAATTCAATATAATTTCTACAGTTCAATATAATTTCTAAGCCACTTTAAACACATATGAAGGATATTTGATTTTTTAATGTTTTTGTGCATCCATGAAGCGATATAAATATTAAATACAGATTTTTTTTTTATGTTATTGTGTAATGTAATAAGTGCAATGTAATAGAAGTTAGGTTATTTTTTAGGGCTAATTTTGTTTATAACACTGAGTTTCCAGTATATCTAGTAATTTATTTCTTGAATATACAGAAAGCTGTAGAAGAAAATAAAACAGATGTTGAAGCAGATAAAGATGGATCAGAAGATGAAAATAAAGATATAGATGCAGAAATTGCTGAATTGCAGGTAAAAACTCTTAACTTTATATTTATTGTAAACTGAACTGAAATTGTTGTGTACAGTTTGTGTTAATACCTGGTAAGTGCAAAGTTTTTGGACACTCATTTAAAATATGATTATCTGTTTCTGTATATGCAAAATATGTCCACAATATGATAACTATCATGATGATAATGATTAACCATCTGTTACCAACATTATGCAATTTTACCAAAACAAAAAAGGCTGGAGTTTAAAAAATATTATATGTCGTTTTGAAGTTGTTAGTTTTCCAATTAATTACTTCAGGAGAATCTTTAACATGTGGAATAGATATAGTGGAGCAATGTCAGTGCTATAGGATAGATGTGGTACTATGTACTTTGTATGGTATAACCAGCTCAGTAATTCTAGTATGTGCCTGGAGGTTTTTGCAATATGCAGTTAAGCATTGAGCTGATCCTCTTTATTCTCATTCCTTCGATAGAATTTTATTTATCGACGTTAATTCGCACCACCTCAAAGTTATGTGACTGTCACATGACTTATTGTTGATTTCATTCTTTTTGTTTTGTTCCATATTATATGTTTTTTTTATATTCTACTAAGCCAGCGCTTATCTACAATCCCATCTGATTGTAAGTGTAGCCTAAGATGGTGAAGCGCCCTGATTTAACAAAAGCCTATTCACTCTTGCCTTGAAGACACCCACACTGTAATTGGATGGAAAGACAGATGCTGACAACTTATTCCACTCTGCTGGTACATATGATGAACGACGTAATGAACCGTTTGGTTCGAATGCGTGGTAAGTCAACAATGAAAGGGTGGAGACTGGCTGAATGTCTGGTTGTCCGATGGTGGAAGATAGAGGGAGGAATTAAATTATGCAATTCCTGCGCAAACTCCGAATTGCATCCTGTAGAAAGAACTGCTACTTTGTGTCTGTGTTCGAGGCTGGTAAGATTGGTTTTAACCAAATTTGGGTCACCAGTAAGCCTCTTAGCACGCCTTTCCATTGAGTCCAATGCTGCTTGGTGGCATTTTGCAGCACCAGCCCATATATAGCAGCAATACTCCATATACGACCGGACTTGCACTTTATATAAAGTAAGCAGTTGTCCCGGCGTGTATCGCTGACCTTTGCAAGGACTCCTAGCTTCCTTGCAACTGGTTTGGCCTTGGACTTAATGAACCACCCGAAGTTTAGATTTGAGGATATCTCAAACCCTAACAACTGAAGGCGGTCAGTATATTCCAGTGATACATTTCGGAAAGAAGGAGCCTTGCTGGCTCCTTTTTCAGTGAAAAGACACGCTTGTGTTTTGGTGGTGTTGAATTTCAGAAGATTGGCATCGCCCCATTCGTAGACTGCCTGTAGTGTAAGATTCACAAGCTCTACCATGGCTTCTCTTTCGGACTGGATTATTAGTAGTTATATATAGTTATTATTAGTATTAACAATTGTATAAACTCAACTTGACTAACCCCGCTGGATTCACCAACAGTCTAAAACATCCTTTTAGTAAGTGTTGCTTGTGTGGTTGTTGGTCAGAGTTGTGGTATCTTTATATTATTCTTTTTCAAGTATGTTACAGTAGTGGTCGCGATATTTTTATATATGCGAGCATAAAGCATCTTCATCAAGTCAAATGACTAACCATTAGAATAAACACTAAAGCTTGCTCCAAATTCAATATTAATTTTGTCAGCATTTCAAATAGATACTAAGTAAGTTAATAATTCCTAAAATATTATGAGGAAAGTGAAATGAAAGTGCCCAAATACTTATGCACCAAAGTAACATTTTTACATTGCTTAAACCAGGAATGTGTTTTAATTAGAAAAAATATAAACATTTCAGGATGAAGAAAGACGCCAGTTAAAGCGGAAGAGAAAACAACTAAATAAACAGAGACAAAAATTAGCAGAAAAAATGAATCTGAAAATGGTTTTGAAAGGGGATGGTGGACCTATTATGGAGAGTCATGATATGTTTAGACTGTCTGACATTAAAAGTTCAAAGGTATTGTAATGTTAATTTAACTTAATATTTGAGTTTTGGTGCCAGGTTATTTGCTTGCTTCTAATATCGTCAATATAGTATTATCATTGGTGTACACAAACTATAACTACTTAATGAAAAACCAAAATAAGGGGGAAAAGGCACATTAACCATTAGAAACCAAGCAATAGAACCAATTGAAACAGTCAGTTGTTTGGAATTCTAATGAGGCTGAAGTTAGCAGAACATTTAAAATATAAAATTTATCAAATGAAGTATCAAAATTGCGTGTAACACTCTATTCAAATCTCTAATAATTGAAAAAAATTAAACAAAATATAATGTTTGATTTTATAATAATGAGGTGAGTTTTTATGGTTTTTTTTTTATAATTTGTGACATAAGCAAGCCAATGTAAAATAAAAAGAAAATTAAATTAGTCATATTTAGTGTATTAAAAAAGGAAAGTGACATAACGAGTTTTGTAAATCAAATCATTAGAGGAGAAACATATGTGAGATCAGTCTGATCCCACGTACTCAACGTCATCAATGCAACACTCCCACTTTGGTGTACACACTTGGCCTACGTATACACCATATGTTTGGCGTCAGATATTCTTGTCACTTCTTAGTGGACACACAAGTACAAATTTATCTGATTCTGAAAGTGAGTTTGAGAATGACTAACTTAGTCTGATGTTTATAAATGAATATATCCATGCCACGTTTAGGTAACAATCCTGCTAAAATTTATAATTTATAATGCAAACAAATACACCAATATGTAGAATACAATGTATTATTTTTGCATTATTTATAAAATCATGTTTCATATCTTATCATAACTAGGATAGAAATATAAAAAACTACTTTTTTTATTTCAAGCCTCGACTTTTAGGTTAGTAACAAAAATGATAGGTACTCACTAGGTGTACCATTTACATCTTCCCATACTGTATAACGTAATTTAGCATCGCGCTATTCTATACATTTAAAATTATAAATACATTCGTATCGCCTTACGGAGCTGTCCCTTAAATGTTGATAACAAAACGCGTGTACGGTGTCAACGTCTATTTGTTGATGACGTGCTATGCGTAAGTTCTAGGAACACTAGTCGTACGTGTGAGATTGCGTATGAACATCACCTCCACCTTCCCACGCTGATCTAGACATCGCAGATCAACGTTGCGTTGGACGCGTGTCATTGCGTTGGACGCGTGTCATTGCGTTGCATAAGATAAGTGTGATTCTAATGCATAATTTTTCATTTTAAAATAATAGTCTAGATGTCATAATGCGTTGCATACGTTGCGTACGTGGTACCAGTCTGTCTCTGCCTTTATTCAAGCTCATATGATAACTTAAAAATAAAAAATAAAATATTTCGTCGATTAATTTAAAAAAAAAAAAAAAAAAAGGCATCAATAGATAATTAAAAAACGGAAAAATGCCTTTTTTAATCATTTTTGAAGTAGATATGACAGCTTAAAATTTTATTTCTAAAATTGAAAAAAGCAGGCATCAATAGATAATAGTGCAATCAAGAAAAGCATAAATCCAATTATTCCCTTGATTATCTAAATTGCCAGGATCCCATGGTGAAAATTATTTTTGAATGTATTTTTAAACAGTAAGTAAAAAAAAAAAAATACTTAAAGGCGTACTTTGATTTTCTGTGAACTTATTTCTTTTTTTTTTCCATTTTCGATTTTCCGCTAACTTCAGACTCATGGAATTCTAACAAGAACTATTAATAAAATTTTGATGAAAAATGTTAAATGCCTGCATATAACAGAAGCAAAATGTTGCTTTATTTTATATGGTAAGTGGCAAGAACAAGAAACATCTACAAGAGACACAAATGAAGAACACATTTTCATCTTAGTCATTAGTAGAAAAAACACATCTGAAACTTGATTATTATTAATCAAGACATGTATAAAATTATTTTATACCACAATTATTTTTATTACTCATTCATTTAAGTCTATCAAAGTCCTTTAGGCCTAGTTAGGCCGGTTTAGGCCGGTAGTTCGCCTCCCCCATAGATTACCTCATAGGGGGATATCTGCCATCGCCAACTACAGTTTATTTTATTATTATTGAATTGTTATTAGGAAGACCCTTCTGCCCATCTCTTGTTTCAATTTTTTTTATGTCTGTCGCCTCTTTCGTCGGGATCACTTGGTACTGGTTTCTTTTACGCCACCCAAAAATATTTTTTAGATTTATATGAGCAGAACTAAACCAACTTTGGCAATATTTGTGCATTTTGAAATTTATAACTCACACATTAGTGGACATGGTGCTATGGATTTTATCTGAAAGGTCGCAAGGGCCAAATACTGCATCTCAAAAAATGTGGTGTTCCTAGCACAAGAACCAGACTAGTTAATACTGATCTACACTGGTTGGCAACCTATAAAGTTGATTACATGGATATGAAATTCGAGCTTAGACAGGGATCTGCTATACCTTTCCCTTCAATATAATAACTCTCTATAAATGATTATGTCCATGTAATTTAATACTTGTGATAAGAAAAAAATCCTCAAGAACTGTATATTACCTTTTTTTATTATAATCTGTATTATATTACTCGTATTATATTTTTAGGAATTAGAACATCTAGTCGATCAAGAACCAGATATTGTCACAGAAAGAAGTGATGATTCAGACAGTGAGCTGAAACCTAAACCAAAATATGTTAAGTATGATGTTGAGTCTTCTAAACTCGATTCTTCTGGACTTTATTACAAAGACTCCGATAGTGAATTGGAAATGGAGACAGACTCTGAAGATGAGAAGGAAAAGGACTCCTTAGGTGAGGGAGACAAGTCAGGTTATTTTTGTATTGATTCTTGCTTCCTCCAGCCTACAAACAGTCAGTCAGTGTTTAGACAAAGACTCCTATCATATAGGAGGAAATGTTGATTAATATTACAATATACCTAGTGGTTATTTTTTGGTCGAAGCCTAAACGTTTAATTGTACTTAGAAATTCATTCTAGCACTAGATACAAGTAGATATAACAATGCGAATTCCATACTTTTAATTTTCAAAGAATCATATGAACACATTAATTAATAACAGGTGTACACCATATACTTAATATGTATTGGTAAATATATATAGTACTTGTAAGTTTCACGTGTACACACACAATTATAAAACATGGTTTTTTAAGCAATACTAGGCAGCAGAACTCCTTCTCTGTCTAGAGTTTCGTCTGGGCAGGTACAATCCGTTACTTGTTTCTGTCGCTAAATAGAAGTGCTTGCACTGTGTGTTCCAATATAACTACAGGCTATGTAGCATTCTATCTTAGTCCTCAGAGATGACAAAGCATCTGTAGTCTTCTTTGTTTAAAGTTGGCTGCAGATGTACATGGACTACCATGAGGTGGACTGTAACTTTGTTTGCCACTTCAGTTTTATAAAGAACAGCAAACAAGGAAGGAAAAAAGAAGGAATATTATATAGGAATAAAATATCTATATAAATTTATTATCTAATTTATATAAAAACAAAAATGGTAGGTTAAATTAAGAAAAGAATAAAAAGTTTCGATCGGCTGGTATTATAAATAAGAAACAAAAAATTAAATCCATTTGCTCTAGAGACTTATCGGTCCGTGGGGTTCACGTGCGGTGAAGTTCCTAAAGGAACTCCATCCGCAGCTATTCGTTGCTGTTGGCGATAAGAGGGCTGGTTCTTTTCTCGCTCAAAGGCTAAGTATAGCCATTCAGCAGGGAAAAGCAGCCAGTGTTCTTGGCACGATACTGCGGGGAGTAGGACTATATGATAATTAAGTTTCTAGTTTTAGTTTTTTTATTATTATTATAGTTTTTAACATTGTATATAATTAAATATAAATTTATAAAAAAAATTCAGTTAATTAATAATATATGGTCAGTATTTTAATCTAGATATAAAGCAGTAATTTATTTGTTGTATATTAAAATATGGCAAATGTGTTTGTTACAGCCTTTTCGGACTCCGAAAATGATTCAAAGAAAATAGAAAAACTTACTAAACTCAATACTTTAAGAAATAGCAAAACTGAACGAATTCCTTCCATTCCAAAAAATAATCCACTTTTAACTGATCTGGACGACACAGATCCAGTATCTAAACGCTCTATGAAAGCTGAACTTTGGTTTCAAAAAGATAGCTTTAAGGATATTGATGAGGATGATGACGAGGGAGTCGATTTGGATAAGCTAGCTGAAACATACAGACAAAAGGGTAAGTGATTAAATTATAATAATGTTTTTCATGAATAATTATTACTTATATTATTAAATAAAATCTTTTAGGCAAAAGGGTACCTGAAGATAAAATAATAGATCCTTCAGTAAAAAATGAAAATGCAAAGCAAAACCAAGGTAAATCTGAGAGCTCAGAAAGTGAATCATCCGATAGTGATTATGATGTAGAAGATACTGTAGCCCCAGAAACTGGAACAGCTAGTGGAAAAAACAGCAAGAAAGATGGTTTTGAAGTTGTTTCCCAAGATCCAGGTAAATTCATATTTTGTACAACTTTACTTTTATTGTTTCCAACTTTTATTACCCAGCTCTATCTCCCATATTGATTCCGATCCCTTTGTTGACCATCTTCTATTATATGTATATTGTTACCATTACCAAACAATATGGTCATTGTTTGTTATGGCAAGGTCTCAATACCAAATTCTGGTTATGATCAGCAGAACAATCTGAGTAAAATAGTCGAAGTACTCAGCATTGCAAAAACAAACCTGTTAGGTGTGGTGATTATATCTACTTATGTAGAGTATGTATCTAAGTACTACAGTTGTGGATTTATGGGGTGTGTATGATTTGAGTGTAAAATAATCTACATTTATAAAGAAATGTTATGTTATAGCTATTTTATCAATAAAATAAATTTCAGATCTAAAGAGATTGAAGAAAACATTGAAAATGGATGCAGAAACACTAGCTTTAGGGACAATGATAGCAACATCAAAAAAATTTAAAAGAGATTTAATAGATGATGCATGGAACAGATATGCATTTAATGACAAAAACTTGCCTGATTGGTTTGTAGAGGATGAAAAGAAGCATATGCGCAAGGACGTTGTAGTGCCAGAGGTAATTGATATAACATTAATATTTAAATTTATCCATTTGAAATTTTAAGTTTCTTTCAACAATTTTTTTTTTCTAGTTTTAATATGAATTGATTCTCCGCATTTACTGACCTAGAGAGATCAATATATAATTGTCCGAAATAAAACAATGTTCCCCTAAATCAAGTCCAATATATTTGTATGTTTGCCCTTCAGATTTGTGGATGTATATTTTTTTTATATTCTTTAGACAATAGTTAATAATATCCTCAAGTGAAATTAAAAAAAATAATTAATTTCTTTATATATTTTAATGTGTCAAAAGTAAAGTAAAGTAAAGTATTTTAAAGTATCCGAATTCGGGATTTTTCAAACCTTTAAAAATTCATAACTCCAAAAAATTGACCCGTTTGAAAATAACATATTCTTGCAATTGAAAAAAAAATCAGTTTAAACGATGTGGCACCAAGTTGCCTCATTGCAACATGCATTTATATCATCAGTAGGACAATTTGAAAAGAATCGCATAAGAAAATTGAGGTGTTTTAGTAAATATATACACATCATAATATATAGCCTATGTCCATCTAGAATAATGTACCTTTCAAATGGTGAAAGAAATATTCAAATACGCGCAGTGGTTCCGAAGATTACCCCCTCCACATATATACAAACTCACAAAATTCGCACTCTCTCTTTATAATATTAGTATAGATTAGTCAAAGAAACAGTCGTACTTCAATCAGTCTACTAAAGTAATGACAAATCTTGAAAACTATAAATTTGCTATTCTTTATTGATTTTATTTTTAAAATTTACATGATGGTTATAATATAATATACACATTTGCTATTATTTTAGAAATACGTAGAAGAGTACAAAAATCGAATGCAAGATATTAATGTACGGCCAATTAAGAAAGTAATCGAAGCTAAGGCGAGGAAAAAGAAACGTATGTTAAAGAAGATGGAGCGCGCAAAGAAAAAGGTTGAAGCTGTTATGGAAAATGCTGATATGTCTGAGAGGGAGAAGGCTCAGCAAATTAAACATCTGTATAAAAAGGCAAAAACTGATGGGAAAAAGAAAGTTACTTATGTAGTTGCTAAGAAACATACTACCGCAAAACGAATGAAAAGACCAGCGGGAGTTAAAGGGCATTATAAGGTGGTTGATCCCCGCATGAAGAAAGATCTGCGCGCACAGAAGGCCAAGGAGAAAACAAAAGGTCGCGGTAAAAAAAGCAAGCCTAATAACAGGGTACCGAAAAAAAACGCTAACAAAAAGAAAGCTAAATAGTGGAAATAATTATTGTAACAGTAAACAAAATATAATTTAGCTATTTGTTATTTTATTTTAGACTGTTTCTCTGCATTTTAATTTTAACGTAGACGTTGAGATGGTTTAGTGGTCAGGCAACATTACTTATGTGTAGAACGCTTAGGTTTAAATCTGAACCGGTCTCAGAAAATACAAATTATTATTGGCTTTTACGTCTATATGTAATTTAATTGTTCCTCATGTCTAATAATGCACTTGTGGCGGCGCTGTCGTCGCGCTACAAGCGAAACACATCGAAGCCTAAATCGCACTAACAAAGTTCCGAAGTTAAAGCAGCATAATATATAGAAAGCTCCGAACTACCAATCGGAGCGTTGGCCGCTCCTCGGGCAGAACACCTTGCTCAGCGGGAGATCTCCCCTTTTCCTTCCACCCGCCACAGTGGTGACCACCCGACGTGATCTGAACACGCAACCAATAACCTTCGGAAAATACAACTTCAAAAACCTTCGTCATCGTCTTCAAGTACCCCATTCATTCGCTCCCGAGTAGATATTGTCTGCAGTCTTCACATTCTGCAAGCCATTTAGCTTTACAAAAGGTTTATCGCAGCATTAGAATAATAATGCTTCCTGTTCCTTCAAGCTACTCTCTGCGCTAGTGTTCGGCACGGCTCTGAGCCTTATTGCTCGCCTCTGCTTCACGGCACTCTCGCAGATTACTTGCCTTCTTCTCGACTCGCCGCAGACTACAAGGCAAACCCTGGCACTTGCTCCGGCTCATCGATCTCACCAGCATCACTTGCAAGTTTGACGGCTCCGTGGCGCAGTGGCTTAGCAATCAGTTGTTGCGCTGGGGGCCGCGGGTTCGAATCCCGCATGGAACATGTATTTGTATGGCCTACAAATAATTGTTCCGGGTCTGGATGTTTGTCCTTATGCAATTTATGTTTGTAAACTGCCTCCACGACACAGGAGAAAATCCTAGTGTGGGGGTATACTTTTTCATTTTAAAAAAAAGAAGTGCATAGTACGGTATGCATTACACACCGGCATATCGTTCGCACCGGCGTCACTTGCCCTTACGCACACAGCATGCATTCTCCACTGGCATTAAGGACGCACCGGCAATCGGACTGCACTATCGATCTCCGGTCTGAGCAGAAGGGGTGATGTGGCGGCGATGTCGTCGCGCCATAAGCGAAACACATCGAAGCCTAAAGTGCACTAACAAAGTTCCGAAGTTAAAGCAGCATATATAGAATAGCTCCGAAATACCAATCGAAGCGTTGGCCGCTCCCCGGGCAGAGCACCTTGCCCGGCGGGAGATCTCCCCTTTTCCTTCCACCCGCCATACACTCAATTCTACTTCCGATTTTTCGCTGAAATATAACATTGTTTTTTTTTGGACACGGATGAACCTAGGTTGGACGGATGAACACTGAACAGTTCTGCATTATAATTTTCCCTGTTTTAATTAGGGTTTCGTACCCGAAAGGTAACCAACGGGACCCTAAGCCTCCGCTGTCCGTCCGTCCGTCCGTCCGTCCGTCCGTCCATCCTACCTACCTTCCGTCCTGCCGTCCATCCGACTCTTAGCGGGCTGTATCTAATAGGTAGACAGTTGAAATTTTCACAGAATGTGTATTTCTGTTGCCGCTATAACAACAAGTAATCAAAATAAATAAAAAATTAAAGGATGCTCTCCTACTAGAAACGTGTTTTAGGATGGTACGGAACCTTACGGAGTCCGACTCGCACTTGGCCGGTTAATTCATTACGTAAAAATAATTCTGTTATTTATATTTTAAACGTAAATATTTTGATGTGGGGCGAGACATCAGCTACTGTAATCGCTCATACACCATTAGTTAATAAACCGCCTAAAAACTCGACAAGTACATTAACTTTCTAGTTCTATAAGTTCTATGTGTGGGCGTAGTTTGACATTGCAAATGCTATATTTTTATAACCGAGTTCAGGGTCGGTGATATTTGAGTCCACGTGCGTCACTCGCGCCTAACAGCTACAGTTCAGGGACAAGCACTCCATAAATGATATCATTCCGCTGTTTGACCTTGGTGTCTTATTCTGGTTTGCTCTAACTACGCCGTCTGCTTATTAATCGTTAACAAATGTATTTTTATATACCTGATGGTCTACGAATATTATTTATGTGAGTGCAATACTTATTTTGTGATATAAAAAATACCATTTAAGAAGCATTATTTTGTGTTTACAGCGCGTAATTTACTTGAATTTTTATGAGTTTACTAATGTTACACCACTATTTCTAAATATATACTCGTGGACGAATTTAGAGGAATGCAAAAAGGTTTAATTTCTCCTGCAGTAATTATCGTGCGTAGTATTGCGATATATTTCTTTTTTGATTCTCATTTACTTTTATGTAATTATTACGCAATAGGGTAAAACACCCAGTAGTCAGCCTTTTAGTGAGGACTAAAATTTGATTCAACTGTATTTTAAATATTAAACATTATGAATAAAAACAATCATTATCCCCAGTAAAGTTGTTCATTAAATTTACTAAAGAAATTAACAAAACATTATATTTATAATAGAATTATATAAAAATCAACATTAAACAAATTATGGCACTTTTCACCAGTAGTTAGCCTCATTTCTCCACAAGTCGGCCATGTCTTACCCTGTAGTCAGCCTCTCAAATATTCTTACATATTTGAGAGGCTGACTATCTTCCCCAAAGAATGCCACAAAGCACGGTCCCGAGCCACCTGCACCCATTGACTTCCTGCATGTCTTACCAAGTCGTTACTCCATCTAGTGGGGGGACACCCTACACTTCGCCTGCCGGTACGAGGGTGCCACTCGAGAACCTTTCCCATCGGTTGTCGGTTCTTCGAGCTATATGGCCGGCACATTGCCACTTCAGCTTACTAATCCTTTGGGCTAAGTCGATTACTCTGGTTCTACTGCGGATATCCTCGTTTTTAAGTCTATCACGCAGAAAAACGCCGAGCATAATCCTCTCCATAGCTCGCTGAGCGACCTACAGCTTCCTTTTACGGTCAGCAGCGAAGGACAACGACTCAGATCCATAGGTCATCACTGGCATCACGCTCTGGTTGTACAATCTAGTTTTGAGGTATGTCTGACGAGAAGATGTGTCGTAATCTCCCGAACGCTGCCCAGCAGAGTTGAATCCGTCGATTGACCTCTCTGGCGAAGTTGGACTTCGATTTGCCGACAATATAGTAGTAATATGGCAGAATCGCTGAAGGACCTGAACACTATGCTCAATGACCTCAATAGTGTCTCCCAACGGATAGGTCTTACTACGTTGTCTTCTTCTGCGCGCGCCTTAGCGCTGCAGGTTCAGGCCTCGGGCATCTCCCTATTGCCTTGGTATTCATCTCAGCCCATAACTATGGGCCGGTCATGGGTGCCTTCTTGGCATTTATCTCTTTACTACAGCGACGCTGGTTCGAATCCGGTCGCTGTAAGTTGGTGTTCAATGTGTGTGGTGTTCTGGTGTCTATGTTGGCCTTTCTGTGGCATTGTGGGTTTTACTCAACTCCCTAATCTGGATAGGTCTTAAGATGAACATTGTCACACCTATGCCAGTAGTTGTTGGGAGCACTAAGTTCTCGAAGTTGTTGACGAATATGTTTACATGGGACACAAAATTGTCCGACTAGGTAGATAATTCCAATTTTCATGTATGTCCTCAGCGAATTCAGTACATTTCAAATGTACTGTGCAAGGCAATCGTCACATCCAATATTCTTTAAGTCAATAATTTCTGTGTTGCTAGTCAATTCCTCATCACAGTTTTTGCATCTTATTTTGTTTATTGTACATATAGTATTTTTCTTCCTCCTTTTGCTATTTTTGGAATTCAACAGCTTTTCTGCTTTCCTTTTTTGTAATTCTTCTTTCTTTTTTTTTTACTTTGTTCTTCTTTCTTTGTTTTAGCTTCAAATCTCTTAATTTTTTTAATCAATATATCGTTCTTTTTCTGTTGCTTCATTTCTTCTTTTTGTATCTGAAATTGTCTCCACTCTTTGGAAGAAATAGCTCCTATTCTTTACATCCCATTTCTAATCGTCACCATTGCTTGTGTTAATTGCTCTCCTTTGTATTGATGGACGGATTTTTGACATGATAGAATTCTAAAACAAATGATTTCCATGCTAAAATAACCGTGTATAAATTTAACCCCTATGGAAAAGGCTTTAAGGTACTATTTTGTGCAACAGGACTAACGGCTGACTACTGGAGTAGTAGACCCATTGGTCGGCCCCTGACATGCTATTACATTTGTACGCGGCTGACTACTGGTAAAATACACTTTTCGCCTTATAAGAGTTAAACCAAAAGTAATGAGCAAAATTGGGACTATTCGTTCTGTTAATTTCAACTACATATAAGAAATTTACGAAAAAACCAGTAGTCTGCCACTTATGGCTGAGTAGATCTACCCTAAAAATTCGAAACCCACTAGTCGGCCACCTAAATTACAACATATTAAACAAATAAAATGCGTATAATAGTTAATTTTATCACAAAATAAACATTTTATTGTAGCACAGTATAACAATCCACCACAAATTACAACAAACACAAAAATTTACCGAAAACTCGAGCACGTTTCCTTAAGAAAAAAATTGCAACAGCGACGCATCTAGTCATTTCTTTGGCAGTAGTGCAAATTAACGAGTGTAGCTCGTCAACCTGACATGATATTGGTTCGTTGGTGTGTTATTAGTCAATAAGGAGACACAGATTCAATTAAACGTTATTTTAAAGGTGTAAACAAATTTCAACACTATTTATATGGAAATAATGTCTGTAAAGGCTGAGTACTGGTGCGGGGATGACTACCGGGTGTTTTACCCTATTCCGTGCTTTCATTCTGCGAAAAAATTTACTAATTTTTGAATTTGAGTTATAAATTTTTGCCTTCATTGCCTTGTTTATCGGGTTGTCTGAATGATTACTGCAAATACACTGAGAATGCCAGATTTAAACGCC